TCAACAATAGCCAAATTATGGAAAGAGCCTAAATGTCCATGAACTGACGAATGGATAAAGAAATTGTAGTTTATATACACAATGGAATACTACGTGGCAAGAGAAGGAATGAAATATGGCCTTTTGTAGCAATGTGGATAGAACTGGAGAGTGTTATGCTGAGTGAAATAAGTCAAATAGAGAAAGACAGATACCATATGTTTTCACTCTTATGTGGATCCTGTGAAACTTAAAGGTTAGAGAGGGAGGGAGCCAAATCATAAGAGACTCTTAAAAACTGAGAACAAACTGAGGATTGATGGGGGGTGGGAGGGAGGCGAGGTGGGTGATGGGTATTGAAGAGGGTACCTGTTGGGATGAGCACTGGGTGTTGTATGGAAACCAATTTGACAATAAATTTCATATTAAAAAAAATCTCTCTGTAGTTCGGGGAGCAATAAATAGAAAGATGGTCAACTAATACAAATAGAAGTGTGGTCAATGATCTATTTGGTATGATTTAATTGCCAATAATTTTTTTTTAATGTTTATTCATTTTTGAAAGACAGAGAGTGCAAGCAGGGGTGGAGCAGAGACAGAGGGGGACACCGAATCCAAAGCAGGCTCCAGGCTCTGAGTTGTCATCACAGAGCCCGATGAGGGGTTCAAACTCACAAGCTGTGAGATCATGACCTGAGTTGAAGTCGGACACTTAACCAACTGAACCACCCAGGCTCCCCTAATTGCCAATTTTCTTTTCTAGTCCTACCTGTCACTAATTTTTTATCAACCCTAAGTGTCAAATATTTACTGTATACCAGGCTTTACTGTTTCAAATTTTCCAATATGCTTGTCCTTTATCTAGTTGTTTCCTTCTTCACCTTACTCTAATATTAATCCATCAATTCAAATTGAAGGTCCAATTCGCGTTTATCCTCCTTTAATTTTCCCCACTGAGAACACTATTGAATCATTATTTGTATTACAGCTATTTGTACATATCTTATTTCCTTGTAAGATTTTTGAAGGCAAGTATGTGTTATTCGTATTTGTATTTTCCACAGTGTCAATTTCCCAGTAGAATTTGAGCTCTATTAAACAGGGCTCTCACACATCTTGGTCATCATTGTATCTCTTGGCATTGAGCATAATGTCTGGCACATAGCAAGCATATTATAAGTGTATTTTGAGTGAGTGTATGTAAGGATTTTAAAACATAATCTCCATCAAGGTTATCTCCATAATCTCCAAGGATTTGTCGTTTTATTCATTGCAAAATGAATATGTTAATATTACCAGGTGAACACATGCTTATTTGGAAGTCTCAGTATTCATCATATACAACAAAAGTTCTTCAATCTCTATATCTTCACAGAAGTCAAATATAAAGTGTTTGTTCCTTTTCCCCCAACGAATTCAGTGGATGATGTATCGTTCTGAAAATAAGACATCTTCTAGAAGTGCAAGAGTAAAATGTAAAAGAATCAAAATAAAATGGATGTTTATGTTAAGAGTAGTTTCGGTTTTGTTCCTTGTGCTTTTCTGTGTTCTAAATTTTCTGTAATGAAAACGTCTTATTTTATAATCAGAAAAAAATAATATTTTTAAAGAGTGTAAAGGATGAGATCATTTGCAAATGTATGGTTGAGGAAACTTTGAGGACATCCAAGTTCAATCAAGGTTATCTGGAGTTAATATCAGAGAGAAAATATTAGAATGTGAAAATTACTTTGACCTGAAATGTAATAAGCCTCTCTTAAAAAACAATACCTCTCAGAGGAGAGATGAATGGCACCAACCTTAGGAAAAGAAAAAGACATCATAGAACAAGAACTTATAGTGATTTCTTAGCAGTGCCTTGGAAGTATGACACCTTTGCTGTGGACTGTTTTCCGCCCAGATTCATATGTTGAAGGCTTAACCCCCAATGTGATGCTATGTGGAGATGGGCTTTTGGAGGTAATTACATTTAAATGAGGTCATGAGGAAAGAAAAGACACCAGAGAGCTTACATACTCCCCCTCCCCCAACCCATTCTCATCTCTTTCCCTATCACATGATGACACAGCAAAAAGGAGGCCATAAATGAGGTAGGAAGAGAGCCCTTGGCAGAACCTGATCATGATAGCACCCTCATGTTGGAATTCCATCCTTCAGAACTATGAGAAAATGTCTGTTGTTTAAGTCACTCAGTCTATGGTACTTTGTTATAGCTGCCCAAGCAGAATAAAATAGATCAAGAAGACTAAGATCGGAACTGTTATGTGGCAGGTAGTTTTCCTTTCTCTCTCTCTCTTTTTTTTTTTTTTTTTTTTAGAGATGGAGAGAGCATGACGGGAGTAGAAAGGGAAAGGGAGAGAGACAGAGAGAGAGAGAGAGAATCTTAAACAGGCTCCATGCTCAGCACTCAGCATGGAGCCTGGTGGGGGCTCGATCCCACAACCCTGGGATCATGACTGGAGCTGAATTCAAGAGTTGAAAGCTCAATTGAGCCACCCAGGCACCCCTGGCAGGTAGTTTTCTATATTGGAATAGGATCTCCTCAGTGATTCAGTCGATGAAAGTTTATTAAATGCCTACTGTGTTTCATGCCCTGTGCAAAGTACTGCGGATCCAAAGATGACCAAGACAAAGCTCCCACCCCTAAGGAGCTCATGTAATAGGAAACAAGCATGTAAACAAACTGAAAAAAGATTATAAATGCTTTGACAGAAGTATGTATGGGGTACTTACATCCTTTTTTCAGGAACTCAGAGGTCAGGGTAATTGTTTCTATCTGTGTTGGGGTGGTGTAAGTTTGGTTGGCCGGAGTCAACACTCTGTATCTAGTTAACTCTGAGTTCAACCAAGTCAATAGCTGTGACTCATGATGTGGTGATAAGCCTGAGACTTCAGTTACAAACCCTGCATAGGCCCATACTGGACAGTTATAGGCACTTAGATAGTGGCTGCCCACCAAGGAGAGGGAGGACAGAACCTGTTTTATGCCCTCCAAAATGGTATAGGCTATTGCTAGTGGCCAAATAGCCTCTTGCACCATTTCTGTACTATGAATTTCCACTTCCAATTCTTCTTTGGAGCCTTGAATATTTATAACAACATTCTCATTTACTTATACTAATTGTATTTTGTATACGTTAACAAGCATTCAAAGCTGTTACTGGAGAAAAACTACTGGAGAACATGGGACCTAGCACTAACTGCAGCACCCTTTTGCCTCACATGCCTTTTGCTGTCTATGTTCTAAGCATCCTCCATATCCTAGCCCAGGCCTTACTTTGTCTGGGAGCTGTGCCTGAACTGTACCACCCCTGGATTGTGTGGGTGCTCCTGTTATGAGCCCCCCAGGACTCCTGTATTTTCTGCATCATAGCACATATCATATTGCTTTGAAATCTCTTATTTAATTGTCTACTAGACTGTCAGATCCTTAAGGACAGGAGCAATAATAGTTTTGATGATGTCCCTAGGTCATCAAAGCCTTCCACTAAGTATTTATTGAAGGAATCTAGTTTCAGAGCCTGCAAAAGTAGAGGAACAGATGAGCATTAAGTTTATGTTGCTACCACCAAGGTGCATCTAACCAATGAAGTTCAGTTTGAAATATTTATCTGAATTTTGGCATAAATTAATCCAATCCAAATAAAGAGCAAAAACTAGAAGGAAACACAGTTCCATAAAGTAACCAAAGTCAGGCTGATATAAAAATTGAAGCTATTATGGCTTCATATTATGTTAGCTTAATAAAAATTAAGTTGGTTTTGAACAGAGGTGAAAGTCATGGAGAAAGGGTCTGGAACAGTAGTCTAAGGACAAGAAAGGAATGGATAGGCTTTATGCAGATCAGCTTGGTAGGATCAGAATATTTGTAATCTATTCATTTAACACAATCTATTCCTTTAATAAGAAAGGGCTGAATCAGGGCACTCCTTAAGGCAAACTCAGATGGGCCACTAAAATGGGAGACTCTATGTTGCCACCTAGGAGACAGGATAATGTCTGTCTAGGTGCATAGCTGCAAGAGGAAGAGCCAATGAAGATAATCTGCATACTTGAAATTTTGGTGGGACCAATCAGTTACAATACTACACAGAATGGTAGCAAGAGAGGTAGAAATGGAGTAGAGGCAGATTGGCACAGAAAGTGGGGGTAAAACTGATGGGGAATTGCATAAAGTGGGGGTAGAAATTAATGGGGGATTGCATTATGGTATTTAAAAATAAAAAAGAGAAGAGGAGCCAAAAATATGTCAAGGCATGAAAGGTCAGGTGACTATGAATCATGAAATTGTGACAGTTACAGTAAGTTAGAACAAGCTGTTGGCTAATAGAATAGGATACTGCACTTGATGTTTTCCATGTTAATCTTAAATTGTGGTAGTACATTTTAGTGTATATGTCCCTAAACAAATTAAGATATATGATGAAGACTTATTTAAAAAAAAAA